CAAGAAGGAGAGAGGAGACTAAACCTGATTTGTTTGATGATGGGTACATATATCAGCCTTTGCTAGGCCAATTCCGCTCACTAATTCATTTAAATTAGTTAACTTACTTCTCTCTTTTTTTTTTTTACAGTGATTATTGCAAAATTTTTCTTCTTTTCTTAAGTCACCCACATATCCCTACTGACAACCTGTGCTATACATCGCACACAAAAAATAAGATCACCAATTGCAAACTCTTAATTTTTCCCATTTATTTCCTTCGAAATTTACTCATAATGACAGCCCCCACTTTCTAGGCTGACTCTGCCACCCACTTTAACCCACTTTATGGCCACTACTACTTCCCAAGTGTCTTGAAACTTGCTCCATCAATTATCTACCCTCTCCTTCATCTTCCATGCCTTCTACGCCATGGGCCAGAAGTCTAATTGTCTCCTATCCTAATGAAAACTTTCCCATTCATTTCTTTTCTTCACTACTAAATTTTTCAGGAAAATGTTCATTACTTATGAACTTTACTTTCTCATATCTCCTTTCCTTCTTAATCCCTTGCGATCTTATGACTGCCCATAAAATATCATTGCAACAATTATTTAAAAGGTCGTTTAGAATCTATTGGTCACTTCTCAGTTCTCATCCAGCTTGACCTCTCTATAAAAAGACACTATTAATAATCCTGCTATTTTTGAAACCCTTCCTTGGCCTCATGACAATGTTCTACCTTTCTGACTGCTTATCTGAGCAGCCTTCTCCATTTATGACTGCTCCAGCTAAGTCTCATTCACTGACTCCTTTCTTTCTGCCTATCTCACATCCAATCCTCCATAATGTCTTCTCAGTCTGTGCTTGGTCCAGAGGAGACTTCCTCCGTATCTATGGTGTCATTGCTGGTTATTTGCGACTCTGTATCTCCAGTCCTGATAACAGATGCCCCATATTGGATCTTGAAGCAAGCCTTCTCTCATCCTTTTTGCAGAGCTGAGTTAGAGTTCAAATGAAAGCTGGCACATCATCTTTCTAAATATTTTAAAATTATGAGTCAAGCTAACAAGCTGCTAGATAAAATATAACTGGCTCTTCTATTCTGAAAGATACTCCTCTATAAGAACCTGGAAGGCCAGCCCCAAATTTTAACTTCTTAGATTTCTGGGAATTCCTCCCAAGAACATGACAGAAAGGAAGAACCATTCCTGACCTGTCACCTCTTCTTTTCTGTTTCACCTCCTGGCTCTAGCTAACATCACGTGGGGCCCCATGTGTAGGCGTGGGGACCCCCATACCTCAGGCGCAGGTTGTGACCATACCCTTGTAAACAGCTGTCCTTTGATCATCTCTTGGGCCTAAGGGAGGCACATCAGAGGATGAACCCAATGAAGAGGTCTGCACCAAGTCCAATCCCAGCAGTGGACATACGCCCATTTGCTCATGGTGTCTAGGGTCTCAAGAACCCAGAGTTGATGTATTAATGCACAGTGGACTCAAGGGCGCATCCATTTTCGACCTGTGGATTCGTCATCTAGGAGGAAGCATATCCAGCCCAGGGACAGAGTAAAGTTCTCTAAATCATGGGTTCCAGAGCAAGGATTCCTGTGCCAGGGCCTAAGGGCAGGACTGCAATTATTACTTGCCAATCGTCTCCATAATAATATTATACAGGTTTATCCAATTTTCATTTTTATTAGTCTGAACTTATCTCACCACGATTATTCTTCCTGTTCCTGGTCCCCCCCATGGTCATATATATATACATATATATATATATATATCTCACATCTACCTAGTCACACGGGCCAGAAAAATTAAAGTCATCTTCAATTTCATCACATTTCTTCTCCTCTCATTCAAAAGGAGACCTTCCTTCGATGGTCACCCAGCACTACTGCTTCATTCTCTGAAATGTATTTAGCCCTTTTCTTTTTTCCAATTCCACTTCCACTGCCCTAGCTGAGACATCCGTTCTCTTTCCTGAGTAGCCTCTCAACCAGTTATTCTCTTCCCAATCTCCTGACTCTCTAGTCCGTCCTTCAAATTCAGCTCATCTTTCAACAGGTCAGAGAATGACACACCCCTTCTCCAAATCTTCATTGCTTTCTCACAGCCTACTCAATAAAATTCTTAGTATGTCATTAGATGTCCTTTATGTAATACCTCACACAGTCCTACTCTGGCCACACTAACCAACTTATCATGCCAACAACATCGAAAAACTTTTATGCTCTCTTGCTTTTCAAAACTTATCTCCCCTTCTTTCCGCTGATTTTCAGTCTATTCTATTCAGCTCAAAAGCCATCACCACAAGAAAACTATCTTGAGAATATTACGAAGTTAAATCAGCTCTTCCTCTACTTTTAACTCATCTTGATAACTCCTCTATCATTCATTCATCCTTTCCTCCATTCCTCCATCCATCCATTCATTCAACAAACGTTTATTGAAAACCTATTATGAACCAGGCACTCTGCTCAGTCCTGTGTGAGTTTCTGCTCTCATGGAGCTTAGATTAGTGGGGGAGACAGATATTAATCAAAAATCACCTTAAAATATAAGGATAAGCTGACAAGAACTAAGAAATGAGCTCTGTGAGAAAGGAAATTGTTTTGTGAAAATGTTCAACTACTTTTTCATGAGTTATTGAGATGAACTTTCCTGAGGAATTGACAGGTAAACTGACATCTGTAGATGAAGAGGAGAGAAGAAGCCTCCTAGGTAGAGGAGACTGAGAATGCAAAAGCTTCCTGGTGGGAGGGACCTTGGCTCATTTAAGGAACTAAAAGAAAGTCAGAGAGCAGAAAGGTAGGGTTGAATGACATGTGAGAGGATCTCTCGTGATAGGGAGTGTCCAGATTTTGTCTTTATTCTGAGAGAAATGGAAAACTTCTGATGAGTTTTATGCAGGGGAGTTGACACAGTTTTGTAAAGAACTTTCTGGTTGTAACATGGGAAATTATTGAGGATAACAAAAGTGGATACAGATTAACCAGTTATAAGACTATTGCAGCAATTCAGGTGTGAATTAGTGGCTTGGGTTATGGTGGTATTGGTACCGACCCTGATATCAGTTTCCCTACATTAAACCCAGCATACGTGGGATTAAAACCAAAACGCTCGTTCCCTGCTTACTCTCTGGCTTCCTGGCTCCAGAATCCACTGTCTTCCATGGAGACAGACACCGCCAAGGACAGGCACCTGGTTTCATTATCTCCTCCCCACACAGAGATACAGGCTGGTGAAAAAGCTGCTGATCAGCAAGGTCATGGGCTCTCTCCTCTCTGCAAGTAGTCTCAAGGCCAAAGACAGGCTGGTGGGAAAGCTCTGACCAGCAAGGCCATATGCTCCCCCTCACCTACCTAAAACCCCAAATAAAACCCTTCCTTTTTGCTTTTCGGGGAGTTTGGGATTTCAGCATCAGCTGCCCTCTCTCCTTGATTAGTGCTGTGCAATAATAAAATTCCTGCTTTCTTCCATTATACCCAGTGTCAAAGATTGTCTTGCTGCACAACAGGTTGAACAAAATCGCGTCAGGTTCCGTATCATTATCATTGGTGATAAGGAGAAGTGTACGCATTTGAGAAATACTTAGATCATGAAATCATCTAGACTTAGTGATGGTTTGACATGGAGGGTGAGAGAGATGTGATGTCAATGTTTCAGGATTGTGCATATTGAGTGGTGGTGCCATCCACCGAGACAGAGAACACTGGAAGAAGATCAAGTCTGTGGAAGAAGATCCTTTCAGTTTAGGGAAACTTCTGTGTAAAGTACACTTAAGATAAAAAGAGAAGTCTGTGTTTGATGTCAGTTTGAGATTAGAGGTCTAAAGATTTCTTAGAAAATATATAAAATTAGAGGAGATAAGAGCCAAGGACCCATCCCTGAAGAATATCAATGTATAAACATCTTTAAGGTGTGAGTTGGTGTATGCAGGGAAGTGGGCTGGCATGGAGAGGAGATGCACCTGCAAAGGAGTCTGGGAATTTTTTCTGCTTTAATTTATATTTATTTGTACTCTGTGTGCCTCCCCCACTGAAAGTTCCTTAAAGATAGTGAGCATTTCTTCCTTATAGCTATAGTCCTTCAGTGTCTAAGGACACTGTGTTTATGATATAATACTTGAATTGAATGTTGGTGACTTTTTGACAGCCATTATATTCTTCCTGTGGAATAACACTGTGTTTTCAATGTGGAATCATTTATTCTCAGTTAATGTTTTTAAACTTAATTCAAAACTTCTTAAGCTCTGGTTTAGGATAATTGCTTCCTAAAGAAAAGTTATAGTTTTCATCCATTCGTAAGAGAATGAAGACAAGGTCATAGTAATATCTTTCTCTCTGTTTTGTTCATGAGCAAATAGAGTCTTCTGTACTGATTTTTAATGTGGCTGTCACAAAAATTTGAAACTATCATAAACTAAAAACATAAAGAAAATCTAATAAGATTAATTTTCCAGAAGTCATAAACTTCATTCTAGGTCAATTCCATTCCAAAATAACTCTGAAAGATGGTTTTTAAAACATTTTCCATAACAAAATGGTGTTAAGCTTAAATAGGTTGGTTTGTACATCTTCTGTTATGTCATTCTTTTTTTAGATAAATAGAAATTTTCTAATTGAGGTGTTACTACCTACATGTCAAGCTAAATCCTAAATCTAGGGAAATATACTTTGAAATTAATAATGTCTACTTAAAATACTCTCTTGTCACCTTAACTTCCTTTCACAATTTTCTAACACTGATCTTGATATAAGTTTTCTTCTCTATTTCTAATTCTATTTTTTTCTGACTCCTTCCTCCAATAGCAAAATTATATGCAGAAGAAGATGCCTATTTAAAATCTCTAAAGCAGAAGGACATGAGTAATACTTTGCAAAATATTCTGTTGATGCCAAAGATTGAGAGTAACATTATATATGTTTCTTGAGTTTGGCTGAAACTTTTCATCTCCTTGGTAATTCTTGATCAGATTTATGTAAGAATGTAAATTATGTGTGTTCGCTTTCAAGGTTACAGTTCTCTGTCCCCAGAGTGGATCATTGACAAATGAGGTCAGCGTTTATTTCTACATCCCTGGCAGAAATTGATAATCACCTGTGTCTAGTGAGTAAGTGCCTATTTGCAAAAACAATAGGATTTTAAAAATTCAATCTCCCAGCATCTGTTCTACGTGTTCCTTATCCCGTTTATGTACTACTCTCATATTTTCAGGTCGTGAAATGCAGGCCAGGAAACTCACGGCTCATACATTGAATGTTTTGGCTAGGCACTCACTGTGTGAGTGTGAGAATATCGTTTAATTACAAGAAGTTTTTAAGAAGGGCAAAATCAAGAAGCTACACTAGTTTCATTATGTGTGGCACATATCCTGAAGAAAAAAGACAGATTTTAATGGTAAGTGAATATTGACCTTAAATCACTGGCTCACAAATTAGACAATAATTAGAGACTTCCATTCATATTTTGCTTATAATTCACTTTCTAAGACTTGAATGGCTCATTGGTTTTTCCTACGTGAAATAATAAACATCTTGACAGCAATGTTATTATTCCAAGCTGTTCTGGCCTAGAAAGGACTAATTCTGCTCTTCCAAAGAATCTCTGATTGTCTCTACTCATCCAGGCTCTCAGGAGTGAATCTTATTGCAGAGGTTAAAGGAAAACCTGAGCAAAGCAGAAGATAAGAAAATTATTGAAGAAAATATCACATAACATAAGATAATCATAAATATTAATAAAACAGTATTTTCCACAATACACGTGTGCAAGTCATGGGTCCTCTGAGGCAACAGAGCAAGTCTTGCAACCAAAAAGGTCTAGATTCAAATCTTTTCTCCATGTGTTACCAGATGCTTTATCTTGGGCAAATCACTTTATCTCTTTTAGCCTCAGTCTCCCCATCTGTAAGTTGATTATAAGTGTATTCCTAGGGGCCGGCCCAGTGGTGCAGCGGTTGAGTTCACACGTTCTACTTCTAGGCCAGCCCAGGGTTCGCCGGTTTGGATCCTGGGTGCGGACATGGCACTGCTTGACAAGCCATGCTGTGGTAGGCGTCCCACATATAAAGTAGAGGAAGATGGGCATGGATGTTAGCTCAGGGCCAGTCTTCCTCAGCAAAAAGAGGAGGACTGGCAGTGGTTAACTCAGGGCTAATCTTCCTCAAAAAAGAAAAGAAGAAAAGAGTATTCCTGATAACTTATGATAGGATCTATGACTGTTTCAAGGATTAAAGCCAGAAAAAAATGCATAAATGGTTGGCACAGTGCACATAATAAGTATTCAATAAAAGTGACTGTTACTAAACAGTAAATTGAAACAGTTAAATTTTATAACAAGCAATTTGCACATTGTACCTAAAACTAAATGACAGAAAAGGGCTAAAAATTAAGGCCTACCCAAAGATATTACTAACAAAGCTAACATACAAACCAAAATCACCAGTAATCAACAATACAGAATATAAGACAAATAATGATGACTAGGACAAAGGAGGACAATAATCTGATTTTCCCTTTGAAAGAGTAAGTGTGACTATTATGTTGAAAATATGTTACGGTGAGAACAAGATGATAGTGGCAAGTTTATTTCTCCCTTATTTGAAAAAAATTCCAGAGGTAAGCATCCCAAAGCTGGTTTGCAGGTCTCATAAGACATTAGAGATCCAAGTTCCTTCTCCTATCCCTCTCCTTTACAATCTTGAAAATTGATTCCATTCTCAAAGTCACAAGGTGGCTACTGGATTTCTGGCCATCACATCTACATTCCAGGAGGAGGAAGTAGAGAAGACAAAGTCAACTCCCTTAAAAATCCTAACTGCAAGTCCCACCTGCCACCTTCCATTTACCTTTCATTGGCCAGGGTTTAGGGGCATCATCACACTGCATTTCAAACGAGACAGAAAAACATAGTTTTCAGACAAAACATATTGCTGTCCAACTTAATATCAGGATTCTGTTATTTAGTTAAAAAGGTGAGCCTGAATACTGAGTAGGAAATTAGTAGCCTCTGCTACAAATCCTAGTCCACATAGAAGCATATTTGGAGTAACCTATACCTTTACAGATATAAGTAGAAATGACATGAAAACAAAAAAGTAAAATTAATAAATCCAAAAGCTTGCTTGTTTTTTTTTGAAGGCAAAGACAGAAACATCTAACGAAGCTCATCAATGGGAGAGAGAGAGAAAGTGAATGAGATTGAAAGGAAACATACAAAACCGGGAAAAAGAGCTATGATATAACCAAAGTTATAGGGCAGATTTTTTAAGTATATGGAAATGTCACACATAACATTAAGTGATAATAATTTTGAATATCTTGATGAAATATAAGATATTCATGGAAGAATAAATTTTCAAAACTGAGTCAAGAAAAAAAATCTGAATAGATCAATAAACGTGAAATTTAACATCCTATAAAAGAATTATCTTCAAAAGGCACATGAGCCACTGTTTTATAGTCAAATTATTCAAAACTTTCAAGAAAAAAGTAAACCCTGTTCTTAACTATTCCATAGAACAGAGAAAAAAGGGAACAATTCTCAATTAATATAAATATTAAATATAACAGTGAAATTATTAGCAAAACCTAAGAAAAGATAGTGACGAAAAAATAGAACCATTTGTCTTCTGAAGACAGATGCAAATCCTAAAGGAAATAATAGCAAATAAGCAACACATGAAAAAGAGAGTCCAACTATGATTTAATATTAGGAATCAGTATAATTAATTTTCCTAATAGGTCAAAGGAGGAAAATCAAAGATCGTTTTGATGGATCATTCAAACGCAATTGATAAAGTGAATATCCATTCATATTAGAAATAAAACTCTCGGCAAAAAAGAAATAAAAGAATAGTTTCTTAACTTGATGTAAACATTTATGGCGTCTTGATAGCTGTCATCATGCCTAATGCTGGAATAGAAAGTAATTCCATTTAGAGTTCAGAATAAGACAGGGAAGCTCAAATCGCTGTTAGTTGTCTTTCTGGAAATGCTAAGTAATGCAATCAGAAAACGAAATGAGGGCTAACAATACTGGAAAGAGAATGGCAATTTCTGAAATCTTCAAATGATGTGATTTGTCCAAATGGAAAAAAACTCAACAGAATCGCCTGAAAAACCATTAGAATTAACAAGAGATTTCATTATATTGATGATGCAAATAAACTCAATAGCTTTCTTATATACAGTACCTATAGTGATGCTAGAATCTAAGTTCCTTCATAAAAAGAAAAAGTGTTGAGACAACCTCAGTGACCTAGTGGTTAAGTTCAGCACACCCTGCTTTGGCGGCCAAGGCCTGTTTCCCAGCTGTGGATCTACACCACCCATCAGGGTCATGCTGTGGCAGTGGCTCACATTAAAAAAAAAAGAGGAAGATTGGCAATGGATGTTAGCTCAGGGTGAATCTTCCTAAGCAAAAAAAAAAAAAAAGGAAAATATCTTTCTTCACCACTAAAAGTTAGTTTCTGATAAGTCAGAATATAATGGAAAATAAAATCCATATCAAATAATAAGCAAAATATAAGATATCAAGGAATAAACTTCTCTCTATGGAGAAAACAATAAAATGTTTCCCTATCTATCTATTACTTCTGGGTAATATAATCCTAGATTTCAGCTCATCAATGTATATAAATTATAGGAAAATATCAAAATAATTCTTTCACAATTTGTTTATTTTTATTTTATTTTTATTTTATTTTTATTTTTTTTAAGATTGGCACATGAGCTAACAACTGTTGCCAATCTTGTTTTTTCTTTCTTTCTGCTATTTCTCCCCAAATCCCCCCATCACATAGCTGTACATTTCAGTTGTGAATCCTTCTAGTTGTGGCACATGGAATGCCACCTCAGCATGGCCTGATAAGTGGTTCCATGTCCACGCCCAGGATCTGAACCAGAGAAACCCTGGGCTACCACAGTGGAGCGCATGAACTTAACCACTCAGCCATGGGGCCGGCCCCCACAATTTATTGAGATATAACTAAAATATAATCTAATAAAAGAAAATTGCCTAGTTTCAGTAATCATTTTGATGACTTTTGGTAAATAAGCAGAGTAGTGCAACCACCACCATAATCAAATTTTGGAACAGATCCATTACCATCCAAAGTTTCCTCATGCCGTCTTTCAGTCAACCCAAACCTCTCTCCATAGCTTCTTTCTCTTGCTATAGTTTCACCTTTTCTAGAATTTCATGTGAATAGAATGATGCAGAATGTGGTCTTCGGCATCTAGCTCCTTTTGCTTAGTATAATGATTCTGAGATTCATCCATGTCATTGCATTTATCAGTATTCATTGCTTTTATTGCTTAGTAGTATGCCATTGACTGAATAGACCATAGTCTGCTTATTCGTTGACCAGCTGACAAACATTTGGATGGCTTTAATTTTTTGGCTATCCTGAATAATGCTGTTATGAACATTAATAGACAAGACCTTCTATATATACGTTTAACTTTTATAAGAAACTACCAAACTGTTTTCCAAAGTGACCCTATGATGTTGAATTTCTACCAGCAATATATGAGATTTCCATTGCTCCATCCTTACCAACAGTCTTTTTAATTTTAGGCTTTCTAGTGGAGGTGATATATTATTTTGTCATAGACTTAATTTGCATTTCCCTAATGGTCAAAGATGTTGAACGTCTTTTCATGTGCTTACTGATTATTTGTATATCTTCTTTTTTAAGTACTTATATATTTTTGACCTTTTGTTCATCTTCTTAATATCAAATTGTAAAGTTCTTTAGGAATTCTTTATACAAGTCCTTGGCCAGATATGTGTTTTGCAAATATTTTCCCACAATCTGTGGCTTGTCTTCTCATTCGTTTCCTGAATATTATCTTTTGATGAGCAAAAATCAAATTTTGATAAGCCTGATTTATCATTTTTTTCTTCTATGATTCATGATTTGGGTATCCTATCTAAAGGCTTTCTCTTATATTCTCTTCTAGCACATGGTTTTTAGCTCTTACATGTAGCTCTATGATGCATTTTTGAATTAATATTTGTGTAGGGTGTAAAGTAAGGATCAAGTTTTAATTTTTCCCAAAAATACTGAAACAATTTATATTTAAACTTGATGAAATTATTCTAAATGTTATCTGAAACAAGAAACATGCAAGAATAGGCAGTAGTGTTCTGAAGAACGAGAGCAATAAGGGGGACATGCTCTGTCTGAAATGAAAAGGTGGGATTATACCATACAGTGAATTACATTATGGTCAAACGGGTCAGCAAATAGAATAGAAGGCCCTGAAACAGACCCAAATATATGTAACAATACAGAATATGATGAAGGTGGTAAATCAGATGGAATAGCCACAGTTAGATTCAATAAGTGATACTGGAACAACCAGCTTACTACTGAGGGAAAAAAAAATTGATGACAGATTTTAAAAGAAAAAAGATTATAGGTGTAGAATTATATAATTCTGAGAGTAAGGAAGGCCTGTCTAACCTAAGCATTCATTCAACTCAATAAATATTTGTCAAACGACTCCCATGCATACCCAGGCACACCTTTCCAGGCACTGGGGGCTAGGCATGGGTGACCAGACAATGTCCTTCCTGCCCATGTGGAGCTTTAACATTCCAGACTGGGGAAACCAAGAATAAATGTGCCAACACATAGAGAAACAAAGTCAAATGATATAATACCAAAGAAAATCACTGATAGTTTGGGTGACTTGCCTAAGCTCACAAAACCAGAAAGGGACAGAGCCAGGATTCCAAATGGTCTGTCTGATTACAGACACTATGATTTTATGTATAAATATGAAAATTATGCTGAATAATATGCCCTAAATATAAATAGCAATTATCTCTTGTGGTAGGATTGTATACATTTTTTTCTCTACATATCTGTGCTTTATTTTTCTCCCCCACAGGGCATATACTCCTTGTATTTAAAAAAG